TGAAGTTTACTGCTCAGCAAAGGTCTCATTAGCTTTTTTTTTTTTTTTCCTTTAAAAAATACTGTCAGATCCATTATTTCTGCACTAATATTTTCTATGCAGGATGTACCAAGCTTGTGCTTCTCATCTTAAAGCAGCACTAGGAACACCAGAGTACAATGCCTTTTCCTCCCTTTTTATCAGTTCTGTTTCTTGACTCAGTTCCAACTGATGCTCTGCTCACTGCTGGCAAGAATATCCTACTACTCTATACTACCTTTAAAGCTAGAGAGTACGTACCTAAAGTGCAAAGGCAATACATCTTTTGTCATGAGTGTCAAGGCTGTTATCTCCAAGTCAAGTGATATGGACTAGCTTGTCCACCTACTCTTATACTGTCTGTAGGGTGTGTGGTGAGCCACTATCTTTCCTCCACCAGGGTTTTTCTAATCTATATCCAGATGACTATTCACCATGGTAGCCACTAGAGCCAGCCACAGCCACCGCAGCACACACGAACTAGTATGTACCTACCGTAGGTGGCTGAAAGACTAGAATCCTGAAACAAAACAGATAACAAGCCTATGAGGACAGGCTGAAAGAGTTGAGACTGTTCAGCTGGGAGAAGAGAAGGCTAAGGGGAGAGCCGTCTTCCAATACCTAAAGCAGGCCCACAGGAAGGCTCGGGAGGGACTTTTGACAAGGGCAAGTAGTGATAGAACAAGGGCAAATGGCTTTAAACTGGAAGAAGGTAGGTTTAGATGAGATATTAGGAAGAAATTCTTCACTGTGAGGGTGGTGAGACACTGGAACAGGTTGCCCAGAGAAGCTGTGGATGCCCCCTCCCTGGAAGTATTCCAGGCCAGGTTGGATGAGGCTTTGGGCAACCTGATCTAGTGGAAGGTGTCCCTGCTGATGGCAGGGGTTTGGAACTAGATAATCTTTAAGGTCCCTTCCAACCCAAACCATTCTATGATTCTATGATTTCTTGAAAAATAACTGGACAAGTTTAAATGACTTTTAGCAAATAGTAGATACAGCCACCAGGCTAAGAAGTTCCATTGCATACAATGAACCAACTTGTGATAGAAATTGCAGAGATTAAATTTCCAGTGAACATTACAGCCTTGTTTGTGCAGAGCCAAAGCTAACTTAACAAAAGGTGAAGAATATACCCTCACAAAACCTCCACTTGATTTTTACAAAAATAAGTTATTAATGCTCAGGTAATCAGCAGAAACATTAGTTGTGTAAAAGTGTAATCGGAAAGACGTATCTGCTAGGAGCACAAAAACTATATACTGATGTATGCACATACTGTTGATTCAATCCCCAGTATAGCCATGATCTAAAAGGTTTACGCTCACAAAACCAGAAACACATGCTTTTATGTTTCTAAACACTTCTAAACACTCTTAGCATAAACCCAGTCTCATTTTTACCAGCTTACACACCTGATGCTAATTTTGGTTTAGCCAACAGGAATGCAATCAGCAGCAGGTTTTATTACTGGACCCATCATCAAAATCAGAAAATAACACTTTTCTCACTTTTCTACAGTTGAAACAAGTATGGTTCCTATTTAGTATTTTACCAGTTAAGTATGCACAGGATCCAGTGAAAACCATAATCTAGCAGTTACTGCTCTAACTACACAGTACATAAAAAATATTTGTGAGAATTTGTTTCATTTCACTTTCATGACCAGCTATATTTGAAATGCAAACATAATATTTATAATTATTTAAAAATACATTTTGTTCAAACCTAATGCTATCATCACCACTGAAAAGCATTAAAATAACAGGTATTTCATATTTTTAGTACTTCAGATCCACTTCCATCTTACAAGGACAGAGACACAGAGCACACAGACAAGGCAAAACAGTCACGGTGTTTTTCCCAGCAGCCTTAGTGTCTCACTCATTTGCTGAATGGATTTCACCAAGCTAGCTGGTGTCTCAAGGGTAGCCTGAGACTCACACATTGGGAGTCTCACGCATTTTTGAAGTGGAAATACACAGAGGTAGAAGGTGAGGACTGACAGGATTCCAAGGCAATACTGTAATGCAAGTACAAATAGTAATTGTTTTCAAAAACAGGCATGGATTTACTACAGCAGACAACAGGGTGGTATCCCATCTCCCACCTGCAAACGTGAAAAATCATGTGAAATACTTCTTCAAACATGACCGTGCACCTTCCCTTGTCCCTATTCTCAGGAGTACTACCTAAAATATAGCACAGATATTAAACAGCCTTGTTTATAATCACTAGCTCCTGTCTTACAGCTTTGATGAACAACATCAAGTACCCTCTCTGAACACATCTTGTTTTTTACTTTACAGTGGAATATTTTTTAGATAATTCCTTGCAACCACTTTTGCTTTGCGTATTTGAAACATGACCCTTATATTTACATATAGATAATAAAATATAACAATAATGAATAAATAAAAAACATTTACACTTGCGAGTAAAGGCAGCACATAGCACATTTTTATAGCAACCTTTTAATAAAGCCTAGGGGAAACACATTTACATGAGAGTTTCGAAGACCTATTTAAAACAAAATAGAAATCTAAAAAGCAGAAATTCTTACCCTAAAAAACTCTTTAGTGGAGCCAGAATCTAAGGTCCCATAAGCAATTTCTGTTTGCTTGGAAAGATCCTCTGCACTTTCAATGGGAGACACCATCCGCTCAACCGTCAGGAAGGCAGCTAAGTTAGCCGTGTAGGATGAGATTATGATGAGGGTAAAGAACCACCACACACCTCCAACAATGCGCCCAGACAGCGATCTAATAACAAGTATGAAATGGATTTGTAAAGTGAAATGAAATCCTAAAAAGGAACACATGTTATCAGTTTTATGCAAATGATGCATTAGACTATTGGGAAGCATTTCAGGCTATCTCATAGTGCAGCTCTGCATACTAATTAGATGGGAATCAATGCATACTCCACTACATCTCCTGGACTTTGCTGAAATCAGGACTCCAGAGTTTAGTTTACGGAGAATTCAGTGATCCAGTTCTTCAAAATTCTGAACATCCTGAAAGGAAACTGCTCCTACCATAATGTGCTATATTTAACACATAAGCTTGTCATTCCCTCTGAAGTGAATTTGTGTGATACCATGAAGAGCATCAAACAAAATCAGTGAAACACTGCTTTCACATAAAACAGCATACAATAAAAAAATAAGTGCCTTTAGCTTGCTTATTTTCCTAACTGATTTCCACAAAACAATGGCTTATGCTGCTGTGGATAATCTATACTGAGAAACAAATAGCAGTATTTGCAGCAAAAACTGGCCCAGGGAGTATCCGTAAACTAAAAAGTGCACACAACTTTTGAAAGATACAAGCATTTAACAAACTGATGACTGGACATGAAGCAATCAGTGGTAATACAGAAAAATGGTGAAGAAAGTACATTTTTAAACAATAATAATCTGATGTTTTTAACTGTAGCAGGTGGGCTCTTATGGATCTTTGTTTTGCATCTCCTGCTTAAGAAGAAAGAAGAAAAGAGAACTCAAGAAAATATACAAAACAGTACAGAACACACAACTAGATAAATTCAATGATTTTCAATACTAGAAAACTAACAGTAGAGAATTAATGATACTGCCATTACTGTCAAACTTGAGGTTTTTTTAATGATACTTTAAACTTTGAAATTACTTACTACTTTGTTTCCAAACAAGACACTATAGGAAGGAGTACATAATCTTTGGAGATGTGCTTAATTATTTGGCAGAAATGTGCATATAGTTGAAAGTCTAGTACTAAGGCGTTGCAGTGGCTTAGGTATGTCTTGATGTGTCTCCTCTATCTATTAAGTAAACAAATTACAAATCACTTACGAGTCTACTCTATCGTAAATGAGATTTAAAACTAATTCTGATGAAATATTTATATAGATAGATAGATAGATGTAACTATATATATATAAATATATATACCCACAATTTAAAATGATAGTTATGTAAAGCTGATTTATTAAACTGGGAAAAAATAAACAGAACCAATTATGGACAAAATATTTTTACTAACTCCTATTGTAAAAAATCTTTATGACAATTTAGACATGAAAAGACAGACTCACTAATTCACTCTACCACATGAGAATTTAGTCAGAGGTCCAGAACATGTTATTAAAAAGGACCATAGAAAATAAATTATTTCAAGTTCCTTCTAAACTTAGATGTGTTCTGTAGACATGCTTTCTGTCACCTTTGAAAAAATATCATATACTTTTTTTGTCATGGAGGTAATCTGAGTACAAAATAATTCTACAATTAAAAGATTGAATGATGATAAATACATATTGGTAAGGTAAAATATCTGAAAATGTGTATTTATAACCACTGATTTTATGGCACTTTAGATTGTATTAATGACACCTGCTGTAAATAATAATAATCTTCAAAAGCCTATGATCTGTCAGCAAAATCACTACCAACTTAGTAAAAAAAGATAAGCTCAATGCTACTCCAGACATTATACTCACACATAACATTTTAAGTAAAATTTTTTTCAGTGTAATTTATATTCAAAATTTTCCCAGAAGTTCTGTCCCAGTTAAATAAATCATTTATTTTTTCATGTACATTTCAAAAAGTTTCTAGAGATTGATAATTATACACTAGTATGAACCCACAACTGTTCAAGCACCTCATTCATCAGATCATTAAATACTAAACCAACAACTTCTGTGCACAACCACCTAAATTTGTGCACCACACTTTACACTTACAAAGGTATTACATGGTAGTACTGAGAGTTCACTCACATATCAAAAAAGATGAGGAAAACTTTGCTAAATTTTCATTATCATATCATTATTCTATTCTATGCTTTCTGTGCTACATGGCAACACGGGGATTGCTATTTTAAGGCCAGTTTCCAGGTGGTCCAGTGTTACTCAGCACCACCTTCTATTTCAGAGTCAGGAAGCCCTAACTACTTGTCTACTCTACAATTTTTACAGTGGTTGTCACTTTTATGAGAGAAATGATAGCAGCAATAGTGCAAAACAACTTCACAAAGACATTTTGCTGATGTCTAAAGAGATTCCTTTCCATATCTGCTCTAATTCATTTGCAGGGAGTTCAAATTATATTGTAATGTTTTTGGTGTAAGAATAAAAATAAATGAGGTATATTCAGCCGTTTTCTATTTTTATAATAAACAGATAACATACAAACTAACTGCTTTCCTCAAAAATGTTTGTAATGAAATAAATGCTCACTGAAACTAAATCTTGAATCTCCAGATTAGAGTTTCATGCACCTTCTATGATGACCATTTACTATCATTATTCTTACATCACTTCTCCAAAGCTATCAAACTGCACAAAACAACTGTCATGCTTTAATAGTCAGTAAAATAATAATTTAAAAAGATAATTATTCTACTCTGGCCTTGATTCAATAAAAATAATTTTGTAGCTAATAGAGGACTTTGCAGACAACTAACCTGTGAAGTGTGTAATTGATACAAAAACCCCAAAGGACTGAAATTAACACAGCTTCTCATGACCTGAAACGATTGGCTCTTCTTTCTTGTATATCATTCTTAGGACGTTATATGCCAAATTTATCACATCATGCATCATAAAGGCTGTTATATCTCACTGTGATACACCAGCCTTTACACAGAAATCCTACAGTTCTCAAATAATAAATGCTCTGCGATTTCCTCAGTGGAACAACTTGAAAAGAGAAGACTGAGAGGAGACCTTATCAATGTTTATAAATATCTAAAGGTCGGGTGTCAAGAGGATGGGGCCAGACTTCTTTCATTGGTTGGCAGTGATAGGACAAGGGGTAACAGGCGCAAGCTGGAACACAGGAGGTTTCACTTAAACATGAGGAAAAATTTCTTTACTGTGAGGGTGACAGAGCACTGGAACAGGCTGCCCAGAGAGGTTGTGGAGTCTCCTTCTCTGGAGATGTTCAAAACCTGCCTGGATGCAGTCCTGTGCAACTTGCTCTAGGTGAACCTGCTTTGTCAGGGGGGTTGGACTAGATGATCTCCAGAGGTCCCTTCCAACCCCTACAATTCTGTGAAAACCTGTTGTTGCCTTTTGGGATGCATGACTTAAGATACAAGAAACGCTCCCTTGGTGCAACTTATTTTGCACACTAGCCACTAGACTCACTAGAAATTCACCTGTTCCCTGTCTTACTTTAGGGTGTTTAGAAGAAAGTTAAATTGCTTCGTATAATTCGGTAGGTCTTCTACTTTGATTTCCTTAGACTCAGTTGCCCTATTTTACTTGCTACTGTAGTTCCTTCAAGCAGCAAGTAGTTATTTACCTACTTACTTACCACTTTGCTGAATCAAGGCTAGAACCACTTGTGCACAAAGAAAATAGAGTATTTAATGAACTGCAAAGGAATTAACTTAAACGCTTAACAGTTGTCCCCAATAAAGTAGATGAAAATCCATGAGGAACTAAGCATTTTTAAACTGGACCTTCAGATTCATTTTAGCAATTTCCTTTGTGACTTTTCTAAAACTAGGCCATGGAAAAACAGTAGTGTTCTGCAACTATTCACATTAAAGTCATCACATGACTTTTATTAACTGTGTTATGATATATAGAGAGTTTTAGAGGGAAAGTGCTGCCTATGTAGTTCGTGACTGGTATGTTACCCTTTTTCCCATTACAGTTGTCGTGAACCATATGCACTGTCAACTGTGAAATGGGAATATGCAGCAAAAACACGGTACCCCTCCAAGAAGGCATGGAATGACTTGAACCTTATGCATTTTACAGTCTCTGCATGGTGTATATAACTTCACTTGGCTAATGTATGATCAATGTTAAGATAATATTGATCAAATATATCATGGCCCAATGCCACAGGCAACTGCCTTTATTTCAAGGACTTTTGTGATTTTAAGGAGGGAAAAAACAGCAATTAATTTCCTTCTGAGAGTGAAAATATATGCACCATGAACCTCCTCCGGCTGAGATGGCTGAGACCAAAAACGCACAAAGTTGAAATGAGTGAGTAACCAACCTTGGCGAAATATCGCATCCTTGCTGCATAAAGGCACCCAGGGAAAACCAGAGACTATTAAAAATCCCAAATTCATTAGTTGATTCATTAGTTTGCGTTTCTCTTCCATCTTCAAACTCCTCAGTGTGCCACTCATATGGGCTAAATCTGCTGACCAGGAATAAAACTACACTGACCCCAATGTAGGCAAAAACAATGCACATCCAGATTTCATATGCTAATGGATCAAGAAATGAAAACACTCCTGGCTTGGACTTCTGAGGCTTCTTGATCATTATTGATATCCCCAGGCTCATAAAGGGCTTTGAGAAGTCAATCACCTCTTCTCTCACCAATGTTATAGTTAATGGAGCAATCGCAATATCAGCTTTCTGTAAAGGAAAAAAAAAAAAAAGGCAAATAATAGCTAATATAATGATCAGAGCAAAGAATGATTTATTTTCTGTTGCATCTCACAAATGGAAAATAGGACAGCAGAGACACTGGCAAAATTCGTTTCACCAAGAATATCCTATGGAGATTTTCAGAACTTTTTAGTTCAAACTCTTCTTACTGAAATACATATAACCACATACTGTGTGTATTCCAAGCTTCCCGTTTTACATATGCCCTTTTAGAGGTACGGGACATTCAAAAGTGTTAGTCAAGTACATTGCCTTTCACCTGGTCAGAAGGATGAAATACGCACTCACTTCCCCCCAACTTCATTTGCATTTAAGATCTAATGTCATGTTTTACTTTCAGAATTTTTCATGCCAATACAAGCTACTAATTCTCTACCAAAGGAATTAGCTAAGTTCCCTCTACTAAGAGAGGAAAAACTAAACCAAGTCCCACTCCTTCCATCAGTCATCTTTAATGGCTTTATTATAAAAGATTTTCTTACCCCATAAACAAGTTCTCCAACCATCCCATTCCAGATTTTCGTGTCTGCATCCCTCGCCCCATACTTGCCATCCCCAACAATTGTGAGCTTATACTTGAATCCACAGTGTTTAGCAATTTCTGTAGCTAAGTCCACACAATAGCCCTCATATCGATCATTTCCTTCAAGCATTTCATGATTTTTCTTCATCATGACGTATGGGGACTCCTGCACAGAAAGAACCTGCCTTAGCTACTTGGTAAAGAGACAGATGTATCAATCAGTTGTGCACTTCATACATAAATGTTTCCTTTCACATGCAAAAAAAAAAAGAGACGGTAACATCTGAGTCATACAAGCTATGTATATGTTAGCTGTTAATTATTAATGTGACATGTCCTTAACACATTTGAAAGCTGCATTCTCCACAGTCATACTCAAATAACAATACTTACAGGTATAGTGATTCCCAGCAGTATGTTAATAATGACCATGAATGTTAACAGGAGTTATGCATTCAGAGAAGAAAGAGTAAGTTCCAAAATCAGTTTCTTTCTCTCGTACCAGTTTGGATGGAAGAAGGCAAAGGTATTTAGTTTCTTTTGTTGTTGTCTTAATACAAGAAGATTCTTTCCTATTTCACAAACACATCCCTCCCTGGCAAAACACTTCAGGCTCTCCAGGCTATATGTCTATTGAATTACTACAGAAACAATAGGTAAGATATCTATATGCAGTAAAGTTCTATCATCAGTAAAACTGGTGATGAGTCATAAGTTGTATTAAAGTAATCACCTCTTTGTTGTGACTGAACTATTCTTGCATCCAGTGAAACTCCTATGTTGGCTGTGACTTGTTCAAACTGATAAAGAAGCTGTGTAACTTACAGAAAAATGCTGTTCTATAACAGTACATAATGTTATTTTCTAGACAACCAGAGTACAACTTTTAATGTTTTATTTTACACTTCACCAATCCATAGCAGCTACAATTCTGAAGCAGAAGAACCAGTCTCTTTGCTGTTTGGCAAAATCCATTCTCTAAAACTAACACTATGTTCCTGCCTCTCAGACAAAGCAGGTATTTCATTTCCATTTTCAGGTCTAAAAATTTTTACTTTGTAGGATGTTCCATCACTGACCATATGTCTTCTACAGAATAAAACCACATACTGAATCACATACAATTCCTTAATTTCCAGATTTTATTTGTGTATCATAATGAGTAACAGGTCACAACCTCAAATAATAAAAAGACAGTATATTTAAACTAACATAGTGATGAGAAACAAATCACTGTAGGACAGACCGTCTTCTGACAAAATATGAGGTTAATTACCAAAATAGTGGTGACAATAATAGTCTTATTCTCTAGTCCTGAAGATTCATTTCCAAGAGGGCCATCAAGAGGATTCACAACCATTTTGTCCACTTCACTCCAATATCCAATCTAAAGAGAGTTTACAGGATGCACAGATACCAATGAATATGAACTTTCACGGAAAAGGTAAAGCAAATTATTACTATACCCTTGATTTATGCTCACAGAGTACTACTTTAGCTATGGATTTACCAGTGTAAATACTATTTACGTAGTTAAAAGACTACAACACACAGTACAAAGACTGAACTAATGACATTTGTTCATGCTAATTTGTCTAATAGTGGTATACCATTTTCATTCACATATTAACAAGTTTTAGTATCAACATCACACAGTGATGCGTGTGAGGGTTATGAAATACTCCAGATTAGGAAAACACAAGAAACTGGCTTCTTCCAAAAGGTTTGGAATTAGAACTGAAAGATAATCACATATAAAGAAACATCACTGAAAAGTTGTATTCTGCATTTGTCATTCAGAAGCATATTTCCCCAAATACTGGCTCATATTTAGCAATTCAGATCAGAAAGCAAAAAAGTTTAATCCACAAAACTGAAAGGAAAATACTCTTATGTAGTACTTACCAGAAATAACAACTTGTACTTGTTAGAAAGAAACAATACCTATTTTTACTTTGTTCCACAAGACCATTGTAGTATACACCTATGAATAACTATTATCAGAACTCATGCTTTAATTAATCTATAGTGTTTAATTACCTACCTTAACCAGTTGCTTAGCACAGTAACACCTTTAAAGACACTGTAAGACAATTCAAATTACCTTCCGAGGACCAGTACTTTTGAGTTCCATGATGTTTATTGTAAAATTGATTCTCTTTCCATTCTGATCAAACTTTATATTCCCTGTTAGACCTTCCACCTGAACCTATACAGATGAAGATGAAAGCGGTAGAAAAATTAAGTTTGGATTTTTTTAGAAAAAGCATTTTGTGTTTCCATAAATGATTATTGACATTTCAAAGACATTCAGTTTAGACCCTTCTCCATAGGCAATGTAACTATCTTGGTATGAGGCAAGTTCCTGAGGAGTTCACTTCCACACTATTCCCAGCAAGATCCAGGCAGGTTAGGAGACCCGAAGATTCTTTTCAAGCATTTTATAGAGAATTTCACACATACATACACTCATCCCAGTATTCACTCCAAGGAAGCTACCTGTTTCAATGCTCTTTCTATTTCTACACCATGACCCCAGGGTACAGCTGGATTTGCAAGACAATCTCCAGCATTTCCTCTTCTGGAGATCTCAATCCTCTGTTTACGCAAATTACGGAAAGCTTCTGTCATCACTTGAACAGCGTCATAGGTCAGAGCAGATGTATACTGAAAAGAAGTGAAATATTTAATTAAAAAACAGCTTTAACTTCACTACACCTTTCAATCCACTCGTTAATCCATTAAACAGAGAAATATATTAAAAATAAAAAGGACAGTAAGATACACTTGAAATTAGAACAATTTTTCTTTAGTTTGGAGGTCACTACACTCTAAGGGGCATCTAAGCAATGAAGTGTTCTTCAATAGAATGGTTAGCAGCAGTGTTACTAAGTCTAAACTGAGTATTTGCAGCTCTTTTCAGTGTGAATTATATTCCTTTCTCACTACAAATGTGTAGCAGTTCTGTGTGCAGATATGGCTAGAAGTCCATAGAGGTGAAAAGGGAAAAAAGAAATAATTTCCACTATTTAACTGAAGTCAGCCTCTAAAAATAAGAAACGCTTTCCCTGATCTACACTCTTCATGGAGATGCACTTATATACTGATCTCTAGACTACATCTCTTCCCACATATATACACACAAAACCAAACAACATACATTTGTATTTACACGTGCTTAACTTTTATCTGTTAAATATAAAAACTCAGGGGTAGCTATTTTCAAGTATGCAATACCTTGTCAACAGCATGCAAAAAATATATTTTGGGTGAGATATCTGGAAGAAGTGGTGCCCCTCAAAGAGCAATCTAGGTGAGGAAGAGTCCCATGTTCCTAATCTGATACAATAGGAGGAGCTTTACAACTTTTGAGACATCAGAGAAGAATTCTGCAATCACATGCATCAAAAGCTGGGACTAAAACAGTCAAAAGCAGTTATCTTCAGTGACTGGAAAATTTTACATCTTAACTAACTAACTGAACAGAAACCACATGTGCATGTACACTGAGGACTTTGTTGGATAGGCTTTATGAGTCCAGGATATTGCAATTATGCCAAATATAAGGGACATTTTTGGAAACACAGGCCAGAATATAGCTACTTACAGCCTTATGAATGAATGCAGTGATCCCTATGAAGGCTATTAGATGCTGAAAATATATAAACTGTAAAGTGGAGAGAAATGATATATTGGCTCTTTGCTTCAATGGCTCAGACTTTAATGAGAATTTTAATTAGCTAGCTCAAGTCATGCAGAAGGCTCTTGTAATTGTAACCAAGGCAGGCTCCTGAATTGAGGTCATTTTTGTATGCAACTGTTAGACCTTGGAAGAGGAAGAAAAGGAAGGTGGAACTCTTATTTTCAGATATATAAGCTTACTGGGTGATTAATGTGACTCTTCTCACGAAAGTTCTCTCAGTGACTTTTATGGAAATCTTTAAAGGGATCAGAACAACAGAAGAATGAAGTGAAAGACTGGCTGGAGCTGCTACTATTTTCTGCTACTGGAGTAGCAGTAATTAAGTGGTGGACATGGATTTGGAGAAGAGGAAAAGGCAACAGAGAGAAGAAAAGAGGAAGGACCCTGACTCATTTTTTTTGAGTCTGACTAGTAATACTTATTTAAGCACAGCTCTCTGCAGTACAGAAACATATTGCACCACACTAGTGTTTTGAGAAACTTTGCATACAGCACTGACATTAACCACTGAAACATACTTTGGGTAGCAGAGAAAACAAGAGCTTGAAATTGAGAAGTTATAGTGCTATCTAATTCAGTTATTCTAGGTTTCATTTGATCAATAGGATATGTTTCATGTATTATCTCAAGAATATTATCCCTGCAGTATATAATTAATGGCCTGAATATTCACAACTCAGTCATATATTCAGTTGGTGTAGGTCTTTGCTTATCAATATATATATCTGTATGTGTACACATGTCATCACATATATAAATCCACATGTTTCAATTTAGGTTAAGTCAGCTTTAATCTAAGGATCTCAAAATATTTTACAAGGATCTGACACCTTCATGTTGTTGGAGATGTCATGCAGGCAAATGGCCCATGCATCATTTCTTACTTCTTTTTTCTGCGTACTTTCAGCTCCTAATAACGTTCATGGGGTTCATTAAAACTACATATAGCTTAATGAATAGATGTAAAATTGACAAGTTAAACCAAAGTGAACTCATTACCATAAACAAGAAATGACAGCCTGATAATCTGCTCATGCAAAGGAGCATCTGTGTGTGTGTGTGTGTCTGTATAATAAATAAAATTGTCATAAGTTAAAGGAGGCATTAGCCCTATCTTGATTCACTTTGTTTTATACTGGAGATTGATTCATGTCCTGATGTGCATAATTAAAATAACTGGGACCACTATCTGCAATATTATTTTGTGGAAGTGGGATGGGGTCTTACAGCCTACTACCTTTTGAGAAGCGAAAGATCTCCTAACTTAATTTCAGTTCCTTTCAACTTTACACGATGAAATCAGCAACTTTAATACAAAATCATACAGGTACTATCCTACAGTTCCTACAGAATCATCTCTATTAATTAAAGTATGGCAAAGAATATGCAAAAAAAAAAAAAATCTTGCTTCTTATAATTCTAGAAGTATTATAATAATAAGCTACTAATATAAACTATAATATAATGTGGTGAAATGCCTAAGAAATTTATGTTATATGCTATAAAACATGGTTTGCATGCATATGATATGAAAATAATTCTCTCGAAATAAATATATGTCCTAATTGCCAAGAATGCCTAAATGCCCTGATTGCCGTAAGGTTCATATGCAATTTTATTCAACTTAAATTTAAAATGTAGCATAGACCTTAATAAAATTTGGAAGCTGTGATTGAGAAGATGAATTTGAAAAGTAAAGACAAAACAAAGTCACCTCAGACTAAGCAGAAGATATTAATCATGTGCTGTCCAAGAAAAACTTTTGTTAACTTTCGTAACTTTGTTTTCCAGTAATTCAGAAGATACCAGAAATCCTTAACTAAAAGGCCCAGTATCCTATTTTTCACCATCAGTAATTGAATCTTCTGAAGATGAAATTGCAGAAGATACCTCCAAAAGCTCAAAATTTTTATACATAAATTTTAAAGCTGTAAAATATTATAAAATACGTGATGTTAGCCTGTTAGTCCTGTGTTTAACCCAATGCCTGTTCATGTGCTGAAGACGAAATTGAGAGGCTTAGAGAATTAAAATGTAACATTAAAAGAATGAAATATTCTGCATCACAAAAAGTCAAATTCTTTTCCTCTTAATTTGGATATCTGCAATGTCTAGATCTATCCCTGACTTACTAGTTGGGGGTGGTTTTTTACAGTCAGAGTAAAGAAATAAGCATTTTAAGGTGTGATTAATTTGACTTGTTAGACATCATCTTTAAGATGAAATGAATCATGCCTTAGATTCCATTAATTTGATCTCCAGTGACTTCTAAGACTACTGGAGGAGTCCAGGGCCATCAGCTTAGATACATATGTCTACACTGTAGACACAGTAAAACCAAATTAAAACCACTCGAGGGGACTATGAACTAGCCATTCAGCCCCAATCTAACATAACACTGAGAAAGGCAAACAAAATAATAGGATATTTTGGGCAGAGACTGTACCAGCAGAGTCAAAGAACACAGTGCTAGTGTACAAGACACTAGGGCGACCTCAGCTAGCATGGCATATCCAGCTGAAGGAGTGTTCAAAAAGCCTGAAATCTGTCTGAAACAGGTACAGAAGAAGGTTTGTTACCATGTATGGGAAGTTGCTATGGGAACAGGAGGAAGGACACTGTACCACTAACAGATGTTAAGAGAAAGGAGGCCTAAAATAAAATAAAAATATTTTTTCCTTGGAGAAAGGTAAGATTCAAAGAGAGGTAATATAGGAAATATTCTTTCTTTGCAAGAGCAAGTGGGTAGGATCAATGGGTATAAGCAAGTGTTGAGCATTATTCCTTATATTTAAACAATTTATATATACTTAAATACCAACAGATATACATCAAAAGCAGTAAAGACACAAGCTGTGTGTCCTTCTGGGTTGTGGTATATTAAATGTTCAGCTTACTGCTTTATACTAGCAATTTTTTTTTTTTTCCAATGGTTCCCTACCCATTTTATCACCTTGTTTGTAATACTTCACTAAACTATACACAGACTAAATTGGGATATGAAATGGTGCCTTGTTTTAATACATGTTACAGTTTCATTTTACTTTAAGAATTATATGAAATAAAATCTCTCATCTGAATTTTGTGCATTTTTTCCCACAACAACTTATTTCCCTACTTGAATGCTAGTAGGGAAAAGAAGAATTACGTTTTTATAGTACTCTGTACAGTAATTGTGATTTTTGGTCAGAACACTATCAAATTGTTCATAATTTCAGACGTAACTGCTAGAGATTGGCATATAGAAGCATTCCTACATTTTAATACACTGTATATAAAAAAACAGGTATCTACATATATAAACTCACAAGCAAAATGAATGAGAGGCAAAGTATACCTGTCAAGAACTAGTAAAGGAACTATGCAACCACCTCCCATGACTTTCAGTGTAGTTGAACTAAAGCAACTCAGGCACCTGTTTAAGGGTATTTCCTTAATTAATTTATTTGGGGCCTATTTTGAAATGGACAGTATTACACACACTTTGGAAAACATTTGAAAGTGGCCTGAAAGATGAAAGAGTTAGTGGAAAACTCACTGACAGGAAATGGTTACGTCCTTCAGGATCTCCTGTGATACCTTGCATACTGCCATGACAGATCATGGGAATGCAAATAGTTACTTCCAATAGAAATAAGAGACATTGTCAACTATCGTACACATAAATGTCACTGTAGAATCATAGAAACATGGAATGGTTTGGGTTGGAAGGGAACTTAAAGATTATCTAGTTCCAATCCCTCTGCCATGAGCAGGGACACCTTCCACTAGATCTGGTTGCTCAAAGCCTCATCCAACCTGGCCCTGTAAATCCAGATGGCTTTTAATTGTGCCCATAATCATGCATTTTTCTCATTTGTTCTGTGCAGGCATTATCATGAATGGGATGTGTATGAAGCAGCATGTCAGGCTGGTTGCCTCTTCCTCTTTGATCTTTACATTAGAATGGAGCTCTTGTGCAAAT